GCGCCCCCCCCCCCTTGTGCCCTTGACTGTGTCTGTGGTCCCCTTGGTATGGTTTCCTCAGAAACCACAGCTGAACCTTTCGGCTCACTGCCAAAACAAGGCTGTGTGCACAGTGAAACACCAAAGGGTGTTAAACACAAAACCCATTCCTTTTTTTAAAAAAAAATATTATTTGAGAGGCAAATTAGAGGCAGAGAGGTCTTCCATCCACTGGTTCACTCCCCAAATAACTAACGGCTGTAGCTGAGCCAATCTGAAGCCAGGAGCTTCTTCCGGGTCCCCCACGCAGGTGCAGGGGCCCAAGCACTTGGCATCCTCCTCTGCTTTCCCAGGCCAAAGCAGAGACCTGAATTAGAAGTGGAGCAGCCAGGACTTGAACCAGCGCCCATATGGGATGCTGGCACCACAGGCAGAGGCTTAGCCTACTTAGCCAGAGCACTGGCCCCAAAACCCATTTCTTTAAATCTGTGTTGATTTATCCAAGAAGCAGAAGGACGGAATTCCCACGGGCTGGTTCACTCCCCAAATGCCCACAGAGGCTGGGGCTGAAGCTGGGAGCCAGGAACTGCATTCAGGTCTCCCAGGTGGTGCCAGGAACCCGGTCACTTGAGCCATCCCTGCTGCCTCCCAGGCTGTGAGTTAGCAAGCTGCAATCAGGAGTGGAGCTGGTAATGCAACCCCAGCCCTCCAACCACAGCAGGGGGCTACAGCCAGCCACGCTCCCTCCTCCAGGGTCCCGCCTTGCCTTGCTTGTGGCCCACACGAGGGTCTTGTTTTTCAGGGTGACTCAGGAGGACCCCTGGTGTGCATGACAGACGGCCACATGACCTTGATCGGCATCATCAGCTGGGGGCTGGGCTGTGGGCAGAAGGACGTGCCGGGCGTGTACACCAAGGTGGTTAATTACCTCGGCTGGATCCAGCAACACGTGGGACCGTGACCAGGAGACACAGTGCCCCGAGGGTGCGTGAGGGGCCGCCGAGACTCCCACAGCAGCTGTGGGGCAGAGAGCCCCTCCCCAGGAGAGGGACGGGTGCACATGCCACAGGGGGACTTTCCAGGCTGACGTCACAGGGTGTCAGTCAGGTGGGAGACGGATGGACCAGGGCCGGCCCCTCGGGAACACCGTCCGGTTTCAAGAGTGGGAGCCCCACCTCCCAGTGTGTCCCAGGCCGGCACAAGAACTGGATCGCTGCTGCAGGGGTATCGCAACAGCCCGAGGAATAGCAAGCGCGGCGGCAGTCGCAGGAGGCCTCCCCCGAAGCAGGCCTGCCTCCCCCTGGGCAGTCGCAGGAGGCCTCCCCCGGACGCAGGCCTGCCTCCCCCTGGGCAGTCGCAGGAGGCCTCCCCTGGACGCAGGCCTGCCTCCCCCTGGGCAGTCGCAGGAGGCCTCCCCTGGGCGCAGGCCTGCCTCCCCTGGGCAGTCGCAGGAGGCCTCCCCCGGACGCAGGCTTTCCTCCCCCTGGGCAGTCGCAGGAGGCCTCCCCTGGATGCAGGCCCGCCTCCCCTGGGCGCTCCGTAGCTCCTGGAAGGCTCCTTTCCTTTCGTGTACAGTGTAAATCTTCAGGAGAATGTATCATTTGGATCGCTGACAAAAGCAGAGCTGTAGCATATTTTTATGGATCCATGCTAGTGTGTCCTGTTGCCACACTGTGTATTTATACTGTACTTAATAAATGTAGATGTATTTTTCACATTTTCCCCATGTTAGCGTGGAATGGCTTTGTCACCTGTGTGCAACCCCACGGCTCGCCAATTGGCGTTCCCGTCTGCAGCCAGTGGGATTACTTCCTCCTGTGCATCCAATAGGCAGAACCACATACTTCACACCAGCTAGTGGGTGCCAGGGGAGGGAGAGGCACGCAACGCTTGGACAAGGTAGACTGGCGCCAGGCCACAGACTGGCGGGCGCTCTTGGGAACACAGAAGGACTGGGGGCTCCTAAAGATCAAACAGAGTCGGGGCAGGGCTGTGGGCTGGCAGTGGGAGAGGCTGCCTGGGGATACAGCGGGAGGGGAGCTGGGAGTGCAAAGCAGAGTTTGTCTGAAACGGAGGCTGCAGTGTGGGTTACGGGCACCCTAGGAACCACGCCGGCTTTGGCCTTTATGCTGGAGGCGACGGGGACAGGGTAGGGGGCCGAGTGTCGAATGGGGCCGGCTGGGGAAAGTTGATGGTGTGAAGCAACCCCGTCTCCGTGGGTGGTGCAGGCTAGAAGCCAGTTCTGGGGCCATGTTCCCCCCACCCCCATCCTACTTTGCTCGTCTGCGCATCAGGAAGAATGAACCGCCAGCCGGGGCAAAATACAGAAGCAGGAGATAGGCAGTCCCGCTTCCAAGAACAAAGTGGGTGCCGGCGATGGTGCCTGCGCGAGAGACTGACTAGGGGTGAGGGGCCACTTAAGGAACGGGTCACACACACTGAAGTCCCAGCCTTGTGACTTCAGACGGCTCACGTAGGACATCCGGGATTTGACTTCAGGCAGATCTGCCAGTTCAGGAAAACCCTGCAATAAGCTAGAACTCCCCCCACCCCGGCCACTGGCCTCCTCCCCTCCCCCTGGAAGCAGCCAGGCCTGCAGGGTTAAAAGGCCCGGCATTCCTTCTGGGAGCCCTGGGAACCGGGGAGCCAGGCAGACAATTGCTGACTGCGCTTCGGGGCGGGGCTCCAGCCCAGCAAGAAATGAGCCCTTTGAAAATACCACCACCACCACCACCACCCCCGCCCCGGCAGGAAAGTCCGGACAAAGTGTCTAGGACTTGCCAGGGGAGGGGGACGGGGGTAAGGGGAAGTCAAATATTACCTCCTCATTACCCCTAGCTGCTTAATGAAAGAAATAGACACCAACAGGCCCAGAGATGAAGAGTCCTTTGTAACCAGGCAGTTCGTTGTAATGACTGAAGGCTTAGAAGGCAGAGGAAGCCCGGGCCGGAGCACACTGCCTGTTATTAGAAAGCGTCGCAAACCGCCAGAGCCAATGAGTGCTTAGGGTCTTAGAGGAAGCGTCAATCTTTCCAGTTAAACGCCCTTTAGGTCTTAACACGTCCTATCGGCGACACCACGTCGCCGCCTACTGGCCATGGAGGGACGTACAGGCTACCGCGACACCGAGGGGGGCCAGAGGACGCCCCTCACCCACGGGGACCCGCTCCAAGACCCCCAGTGCATGCCTGAAACAGCCAACGGCACCACAGCCGACCCTCGAGTGTGCGAGGTTTCCCTGTGTGCATCTGAGGGGGCTTCAGAGCGCACGGCAGTGCACACTCTGCAGAAGCCGCGCCCTCGTGAAACAACTCGTCACCAGAGTAGACGCTCATCCACTGTCTGGGTGAACGTTTCGAGGCGGCCTGCACGCCTGACAGAGGGTCATTTAGAAGTCAGGACAGCAGATTGATTACCAGCACAAGTCTAACAATACCCTGCAAGTGGCCGGCCTCACTCGTGTGGGCCCTTGCTGGAGTCCCTGCCTGGACTCCTGGCTTCCCTGCGCAGCGCGGTCCCGCTCAGAACGCATCTCCCAGCCCCAGGCTGCACACCTACCTGCTGGGCTGCAAGCAGGCAGGCCGCACTCGCCTCACTCACAGCTGCAGCCTCTGGGCTGGGGTGTGACCCAGGCGCAAGGGCCTGCGGAGCGACCGGTGTGTGTGGTTTTCTTTCCCTGAGAGCTCTCACCGGTCTAGCACTTAGGGAGCACTGTGAAGTGGACGCAGGGTTACGTCGGATACCTGAGATGGCCGCCCAGTGACCCATGGGCCGCACCGGGGCAGCGGGGGGCCACGTTCCACAGAAGCCACGGCCTCCTCGCCGGCCAGGACAGGAGCAGCAGGGGCACCAGGCTCCCACACCTCTCAGAACGACAGGCACTTCAAACCCGATCACTTCTCGACGTTTCCAGTGAACGTTTTCAGAAACTGGGAAGGGTGAAACGTGGCTGGAAGGAATAGTGTATTAAACAGTGACAGAGAGAGGGAGGGTGGAATGTTAATTATCAGCAAATCCTCGTGGTGCTTAGCAAGTCAGTCTTTTTATTTGTAGATTTTTGAAAGGCTTATTTGTTTGAAAGGCAGAGTTACACAGACAGGGAGAGAGAGAGACAGCATGAATCTTCCATCCGGTGATCCACTCTGCCAATGGCTACAACAGCCAGGGCAGGGTCAGGCCAAGGCCAGGAGCCAGGTGCTTCTTCCAGGCCTCCCACATGAGCACAGAGGCCCCAGGACTTGTTCCATCTTCCACCGCTTTCCCAGGCCATTAGCACAGAGCTGGATTGCAAGTGGAGCAGCTGGGACACACCCACATGGGATGCCAGCATCACAGGTGGAGCTTAACCCACAACGCTACAAGGCCAGCCCTTCTTTTTCAAATAGATTTACTTTCATTTTACTTGAAAGGGTTGGGGGGGCATCTCTCATCTGCTGGTTCACTCCCCAAATGCCAACAACACGTGGGCTGGCCCAGGCTGAAGCCTGAAGCCAGGAACTCCATCTGGGTCTCCCACACTTGAGCCATCAGCTGTGCCTCCCTGCACACCAGTGGGAAGCTGGGATCAGAAGTGGAGCTGGGATTCTGCTATGGGATGCAGGTGTCGCAAGAGCACCCCAACCTGCAAGCCTGTGAGTTTTACAGAAGGACACCAGTTCACATAGGCAATGACCACCACATCCACACCCCAGACCCCCAACGCCTCACCTTCCGGAGCTCTCTGCGACAGTAGATGCTCCCGTGAAGTTAACCTGGGGGGCAGGTGATCGGACCAGCGCGGGTACCAGGACAGACGTCCACAGCCTGCTTTTGTGTTCCCCAAGAGTAACGGGACTGAGGGCAGACCATGTTACAATGACATCGCCTGCCAACACCTCCTCCCTCCCCACCCGACAACCACCCAAGTGGCTGCAGAGCATGGAAGTAGCGAGAGGCCACAGCAAGGGACCCCCTTTGGCTTCTGCCAAGGCACGCAGGGCCCTGCGCCACCGTCAACCCCAGGAAACACAGGACACAGGACAGCTAAGACTCAACTTCATTGTCATTTAAATAGAGAGGCGACTTCACGTGTCACACGCGCGCACACACACACACAAAGCAAACAGCCCGAGGCGGCACCGGCCCGCGCATGCTGACCCACAGCTGGGCAGGGCTGCACGCCACAGCCTGCAGCCCGGGGATGGACGGCCACTGCACGGATGTGTAGGCCTGCAGGTCCCACAGTCCAGACCCTTTGCTGCTTCCCGGCGACGTCCCTGGAAGCTGGGTGGCCCTCGACAGGAGCCAGCAGCTGCACTTGAAGCCTGGACAGACGCGTGCTGGCCGCCTCTCTGTGGGAATGTGTGCACGGGCGGACACGCAGGGCCCGCCGGGCTGCTGGGACGGTAAGCCCGCGCGTTTCCGCGAAGCACAGCGCGCCCTACAGGAAAACCACGAGGACTGCCAAGTCGGCAGCAAAGGTGGCCCCCAGCGGGAAAGGAAACACCCGCACCAATCCTGCCAACAGGACTCCAGGCACACTGGTCCCAGGGCTGGGTACTCGCAGCCCCTCCTTTGTCTGCGCGCACAAAGCACAGCACACCACCACCCCTTACGCTGTATGTTATATGTAAGTATTGAAATGGCTAACTCCCACGGAACTAGAATAAACCCCACTGGGGAAGGCCGAGGGGCTTCCCTTGCAGGTTTCTGAAACCGCGCTGTCACCTGCCTCTTGCAGCACTGATTTATTCAAAGATTTCAAGGATTTTTTTTTTCTTTTGGTCCTGAACCCAAGGTGGAGTGGGAGCTACCTCGTGTCCATCAACACTCAAGGACCGGCCGTACCCTGCAGGGAAAGCGCTCGTCTTCATGGGGCGGCTCAGGGAGCGCCAGGCAGGCGGGCTGGGGACCAGGCCCAGCCCAGCACTGCCCTGCACAGCCACGCGGGACCCCCGGGCTCCGGCTGTGGTTGGCCCCCTCTGCCCCAGTGCCACGGCACAGACATGTGGCTGCTCTGGGGGTGACGGGAGCATCACTTCCGCGGCCGGTTTGCCTTTTCTGACTCCTGTGAAGGCTCAGCTCGCAGGGAAAAGGCCGGGGCCGGGCCCTGCACCAGGAACTGAGTTCAATGGTCTGGGACGAGGGAAAGACGCGCTATCTGCAACCATCAGTGCAGGATCCGGCCTCGCCGGTCTTTCTTCTCCCTCTCAAGTCAGATCCTCCACTGGCCTTTCTTTGACACACATTCACGTTTCTTCCTTTCTTCTGCCTTAATCAAGAGTCCCTTAGCTGGCTTTAGGCGACCGCAGCCACGCCAGCGACCCCTGCTGGCCCTCCTGGGTGCGTGCTGTTCCATCGCCGCCTCTGCCTTGGAGGACCAGGTGGCTCTGAGTGGGTCTCACTCCGTCCGCTTCTCCGTGGGACCCGATTCCCTCCGTGAGCTCCGGGGTGCGGGAGCTACAGAAGACAAGGGGCAGGTGGGTCCTGCAGGGACTGACCTAGGAGACAGGTGGTTTTTTTTTTTTTTTTTTTTAACTTTTAGACAAGGAAGAAATGAAAAAGTTCGTGACTGTTCCCTGGGCAACACTCTCCGCCTCTCAGGTTCGAACTTGGAACTTTCCGGCTTTGGTCATGTACTTTATGCCCTTAAAGGGTTTGTACTTCTCGCCATACATGTCCAGGCGGTTCACTTTGAGTCCTGGAAGGAAGGGAGGGAGGGAGGGAGGAGACAAGAACAGGCTATGAGTGCGAGTCCAAGGAGGTGGGCAGTGTAACAGGGCACTGGCACCGGGGGGGGGGGGGGTGTCTGCTCTCGCTGGGACCACGTCTGCTGAGCTGAGGGGCCTGACACTTGGCACATGCTCTGCGGTGAAACGGTGCTGCGACCAAACTCCCTGTGAGGCACGCGCTTCCTCGGGGAAAGGGCAAAGCCACCTGCAGCCCGGACAGTTAGGCCACCATAGGTTTTCGGACCCAAGAAATAAATCGCTAACAAAATTAATGATACACATTATAACTCAATGAATTAATAGATGAATACATCATAAACATTCTCACTGTACCAAGCAAAAAATATTGTAGATTGCATAGAAAAATTGTATAGAGAGAAACAATTTATTTTTCTAAGCAACTGCATAGAGCGTAACAGTTTATTAAATGTTTGAAGATGAAGTGCTGGGGTGCTGGCCTCGTGGCACTGTGGGCTAAGCCACTGCCTGGGAGACCAGGATCCCCCTGTGAGAATGCTGGTTCAAATCCCACTGCTCCATTTCCGCTCCAGCTCCCTGCTCAACGCGCCTGGAAAAGCAGCGGGAGATGGCCCAAGTGCATGGGCCCCTGCACCCATGTAATCTTGGAGTTCCTGGCTCCTGGCTCCTGCCTGGCGCAGCCCTGGCTGTGTGGCCATTTGGGAAGTGAACCAGCAGATGGAAGCTCACTCTCTCTCCCCTCCTCTCTCTGTAACTCTGCCTTTCAAATAAATAAATAAATCTCTTGGGAAAACCTGTTTCGAAGAGTTTCACAGACACATCATGAAGCCGTTCTGACTAGTAACTTGCAATTACCAACCTCCTAAGGCAGGCACAGGCTACAGTGCAACCCAATCGGTGCAGAGTAATGAAATCATAAATAGGATGAATTTAAATAAATACAAGCAAACGTGAAGCTGGCTGTGGCTGGGAGGGAGGCGCGGAAACACCTCTGAGTTTCCCGCTGAGAACGCAGCTCACGAGGGCAGGCCGTGGATGGGGCTGGCACCAGCCCGCGGGCACTGCAGGGTGCCAAGGCTGCTTCTCGCTCGTGTCTGTCTCTCAGACACTTTTATCCAGGCCACCTGGGCCAGCTTCACAGTAAGGACTGCCACCCTGCCCCAGGAAGGGGCTGGAAAAGCTGTCACTCAAGATCCCAGATCTTGACCTAAGGGAACCCCAGCCTATCCCAGGGAGCAGGGGAGGCGCAAAGCGGGCCGCCTACCGGAAATGGCCAGCTGCTGGATCTTAAACTGCAGGTTAACCGTGGGGTTCTCGTCGGGCTTGGGCGCCCCGGCTTGGAGACTCATGGTTCCCTTGAGACTCGGCAGCTTCTGGGGGTTTATTTTTCCTACATCCCAGGACAGCATCTTCAAAGGAAGAGGAAAAAGGACAAGTGTCGTCGCTTCCAGCAAGACGACGGTCCCCAGGGCGCCCGGCCACGGCTGCCAAACAGCCGGCTTGCCCCTCACCTTTGTCACGGGGTCGAAGGTGTGCGTGCCCTGCGACGGCGTGAGGCTCATGTTCAGGACGCCCTTGGGCATCTGGCTGCTGACCAGCACCCCCTCTATGGTCTTCCCCATCGTCTGCTTGGGCCCCACCGTGATCTCAAAGCGGCCCAGGGCACTGCTGTCCCGGAAGCTGATGCTATGTTTCACGTACACGGGAATCGCGACCAGACTGCAAAGGAGCAGGACAGAGACCCCGGCCAGTGAGGGGGCTGGGAGGGCGGCGCCGGCCCCCACACCCGGCTGGAGAGGCGCTCTCCTCACGGGAGACCCCAGCCAGCTGGTGAGGCGCTCTCCGCACTGCCAGCGCCCTGCTGAGAGCGTTCTCTCCCACACCTGGGTCCCCACTGCTGACCTGGGAAACTGAACACAGGAATCGCTACGCTGTCTTCCTTCTGAAGCGCTAAGGCGCCGTCGGGAGACTAACTCTCCTAGCGGCCTGGCCGCTGGGCCGACTGTGACAGCAAACCCGCAGGCCCCCGCATTCGCAGGCTTCCATCCGTGTGACATGCATGCCTCCTGCGGCTTTTGCAGTTTCTTGCTGTGGTCTGACCACACCTGATGCTCACAAAATCCTCTGAGTGGGGTAGGTTGTCAGGATTTGACAGGAGAGACTCCGGAGAAGTCAAATAATCCGAAAATAAAAGTGGCTCCTAACACTGAGTCCTTCCTGGGTGCAGTCATGACGCTAACGCTTTCTATCCATTTAATCCCGCATCCCTGCACCCACGGGTAGGTCTGAAGTAGGTGCTGATTTCACAGTTTAGAGTTGCTCTGAGTCAGGGGGACTGAATACAAGGATTTTTCAGATTCTATCTGAGAAACAATATTCCCTAGACGTCTAACAAAAAAATAATAGTATCAAACTTAATGAGCACAGGGGCTGGTGCTGTGGCGCAGTGGGTTAAAGCCCTGGCCTGAAGCACCGGCATCCCATATGGACGCTGGTTCGAGACCCGGCTGCTCCACTTCTGATCCAGCTCCCTGCTATGGCCTGGGAAAGCAGCAGAAGATGGCCCAAATCTTTGGGCCCCTGCACCCATGTGGGAGACCTGGAAGAAGCTCCTGGCTCCTGGCTTCAGATCGGCACAGCTCCAACCGTTGCAACCAAAGGGGGAGTGAACCAGTGGATGGAAGATCTCTTTCTCTCTCTCTCTGCCTCTCCTTCTCTCTCTGTGCAACTCTTTCAAATAAATAAACAAATCTTTAAAAAAAAAAAAAACTTAATGAGCACATAGTTTGCCTTCCACACTGCTAGATCCTCCTAACAAGGAGGATTTCATTATCTTCCACGTAAAGAAAAGAAAACAGGGCCGGTGCCGCAGCTCACTTGCTTGATCCTCCGGCTGTGGTGCCGGCATCCCATATGGGCGCTGGGTTCTAGTCCTGGTTGCCCCTCTTCCAGGCCAGCTCTCTGCTGTGGCTTGGGGGGGCAGTGGAGGATGGCCCAAGTGCTTGGGCCCTGCACCTGCATGGGAGGCCAGGAGAAGCACCTAGCTCCTGGCTTCGGATTGGTGTAGTATGCCAGCCATAGCGGCCATTTGGGGAGTGAACCAATGAAAGGAAGACCTTTCTCTCTCTAACTCTGCCTGTCAAAAAAAAGAAAAAAAAGAAAAGAAAAAAAAAGAAAAAGAAAACAGATACTAAGGGCTGGGTGCTTGGCACAGTAGTTAAGGTGTCCCAGGAGACACCTGCATCCCATATGGGAGTGCCTGGGCTTGAGACCTGGCTCCGCTCCTGATCCCAGGCTCCTGCTAATGCACGCTCCGGGAGACGGCAGGTGAAGGCTCGGGGAGTCGGTCCCCGGCAACGTGTGAGACCCGGATGGCCTGATCCAACTCCGGCTATTGTGGGCACTTGGGGAGTGAACCAGCGGATGGGAGATTTCACTATCTGTCTCTCTGCTTTTCAAACACATGCATACATACATGTGTGTTTGTGTGTGTATGCCAGCCCCTGAAATATTTTTTAAAAATTAAAATGAAAAAAGCTAATCCTTTTAAAAACAGAAAGAGAGAGAGAAAGAGAGAAAGGGAGAAAGGGAGAAAGGGAGAAAGGGAGAAAGAGAGAAAGAAAAGAAAAGAAAAGAAAAGAAAAGAAAAGAAAAGAAAAGAAAAGAAAAGAAAAGAAAAGAAAAGAAAAGAATGAAACGGAACATGAGTTAAGCAACTCACCTAAGGTTACCCAATTAGTAACTACAGAGTTGGAATCTGAACCCAGGTAACGCCAGCCCAAGCTCCTAATCACGGCAGGTATTGCTTCCACACCCAGAATCCACCCGGAGCGGTCAGAGTGCTTACTTCTGTGCACTGACATGGTAAGAGAGCAGGCGGAAGTTGCCGTCTGGAGGGATGAAGGAGAGGATCCGCTCCGATTCCCAGCGCTTGAACCGGACACAAGGGTGGAAGCTGACATCATCCAACAGCCTGGGGTTCTACAGTCACCAGACAAGGACGAGCGAGAAGCAGGCATTACACACGCAGCGCTCCTTCAGGGAATGCTCTAGACGCTGCTTTTCTCTCTCTCTCTCTCTCACACAATTCCATTCTCGCCACACTGTCTCTCCAGCAGCACGTCATGTCCCATCCAAAACCGCCTCTCCACCCGGGGTTTACCATGAAGGACAGTGTCAGGTCTGGCATTCCCGTCAGCTTGACACAGGCGTCAATGACCCCCTGGATCTCGGCAGTGATGGTGGAGCCTGCGACAGGAACAGCACGCACAACAGAGGAGGTCACCAGGGCGCTAACGATGGCTCAGAAACTGAGTCGCCGAAGAAGACGCGGAATCGCAATGGGAGGAGGGTAATACCAGCAAGTCGGCACGAGAAGGGCCCCTTTGCATCCCGGCACCTGTGAGAACGCGTGAAAGCACCCACCTGACTTATCAATGATAGCATCGATCTCTTCAATCACATCAAAGTAGGCCTCGTTATTGGTGTACTTCACGCCAGTCCGCCGCCACGGCACCACCGACAGCTGTCCGGTCGGAAGCTGGTCTCCCACATTGGTGCTTCCTGAGAGACAGTATGAGTGCTTTACAGCTGGCACTTGAACGCTGACTTGATTCTAATCAACCACAGAACATCCCCTGCCGACCTCCGGGCCCTTACGTTCATACACACAACTGAAGACTCTTTCAAGGAGGAGAGGAGAGACTGCTCCACTTCCACGTGGGGTAACCCAGTCCGTTTTTAAAAACTCCTTGTCACCACCTGGTCTGCCTTCCCAAGCAGAATAAAGGTTAAAAAAAAAAAAAAAGGTTACAGCGACACAGATATCACATTTTGATTTTGAAAGTAACCTGAACTTAGTATCTCAAATGTCACAACAGCTCCTGGCTTAAATAATATATTAGCTTTCAGTAGGGTTGGAATCTACATATTGCCATGAAACTTTCATGGGTAGAAGAGTACCCTACTTAGTAGGAGGCAGGTTCTTGGGTACATTTAAGGTAGGTAAAAAATGCTTCCATCAACACGATCCATCTCACACCCGTACTGGAACTCAGGAAAAATACAAGTAGACCTTCCCTTGTCCATAAGAGTTAGTTGTAGAACAATAACCTGACTTGTCCTCCACATCCACTGGCCAGGCGTGAAAAACATTTTTAATTCAAAGGTTTTATACTGCAGTAATCACTATAACTAATTTAAATATTGCCTCTATTTCTTCCTGCTGTTGCTTGCATCTTAAAAAAAAAAAGATTTGTTTATTTGGAAGTCAGAATTACAGAGAAAGAGAAGCAGACAGAGAGAGGGAAGTCTTCCATCTGCTGCTTTATTCCCCAAAGAGCCACACAGCCAAAGCTGAGCCAATCCGAAGCCAGGAGCCTGGAGCTTCTTCTAGGTCTCCCACACAGGTAGCAGGAGCCCAAGCACTTAGGCCACCTTCCACTGCTCTCCCAGGCCATAGCAGGGAGCTGGATTAGAAGTAGAACAGGGGCCGGCGCTGTGGCATAGCAGGTAAAGCCACCGCCTGCAGTGCCGGCATCCCTTTAGGGTGCCAATTCTAGTCCCAGCTGCTCCACTTCCTATCCAGCTCTCTGCTATGGCCTGGGAAAGCAGTAGAAGATGGCCCACATGGGAGACCCGGAAGAAGAACCTGGTTCCTGGCTTTGGATCGGCGCAGCTCCAGCCATTGCAGCAAATTGGAGAGTGAACCAGCGGATAGAAGACCTCTCTTTTCTCTCTCTCTGCCTCTCTGTGTAACTCTTTCAAATAAATAAATAATCTTTATTAAAAAAAAAAAAAAAAGGGGCCGGCGCCGTGGCTCACTAGGCTAATCCTCCGCCTTGCGGCGCCCGCACACCGGGTTCTAGTCCCGGTCGGGGCGCCGGATTCTGTCCCGGTTGCCCCTCTTCCAGGCCAGCCCTCTGCTGTGGCCAGGGAGTGCAGTGGAGGATGGCCCAAGTACTTGGGCCCTGCACCCCATGGGAAACCAGGATAAGTACCTGGCTCCTGCCATCGGATCAGCGCGGTACGCCAGCCGCAGCGCGCCTGTCAAAAAAAAAAAAAGAAGAAGAAGAAGTAGAGCAGCCAGGACTTGAACCAGAGTCCATATGGGGTGCCAGTGCTGCAGACAATGGGGTAACCTGCTGCACCCCAGTGCCGGCACCCTGCTTGCATCTTTTTAATCCAAACAAAGAAATACTAGACAGACATTCAGCATGTTCACAAAAACCTTCCAGTTTTCTGAAAGTGGTTCTCAGACATCTTTTTCTATGTTGAAGTGAGAAACAAGATGTAAACAACTTCACAATATTCAAAAATGCTTCAGGCACTAACAAAGTGCTTAAGGCTTAAAATTAGCTGAAAATTCCTCAAAATTTGTTTTCTTAAAAATAGGCCCTATGTATGATAACGTATCATCAAGCTGTAATAATTAAAGCAGTGTGGTAGTTCAATACTAATGCCTAAAACCAAATTAAGAAGCTATAATGACTCAGTACAAGACAAAATGTCATTTCAGAACAGGGGAAAGGGGTACATTATCCAACACATGGCACCAAAATACTGACTACAATTCTAGAAAAACAAACACAGAGCCTTACCTCATGGCATACGCCAAAATAATTTTCAAATAAATTGAAGGATTGAATTTTAAAAATGTAACCATAAAAGAACTAGAAAAAAATGTACTTGTTAAAAAAGAACTTCCCTTATCTGAGATCAGACATTATCCTATGTTTTCTTCTAAGAATTATACAGTGTGTGCTTAACTCTTCAATCCAATCGGGATTTATTCTGTATATAGCAAAAGTAGAATGGCTTTTTTTTTCCATACTGACCCAGTATAACATATTTAACAGTTGGTCCCTGGTCTATATAAATGGCCACATCCATTTATACCAAATTCCAAAAAGCAAGGATCTGTTTCTGGACTTTCTATTTTTACTGAAATGAGCTATTTGTCTGTGAATGGCCAATACCATATTTTTAACAAAATACATCTTGTTTCTACTAGGTTACATTTTTTCCCACTTGCTGTCTTTTTACAAAATGTTATTTTCAAAACTGCCCGGGCTCTTCCAGTCTATCTGTTCCACCAGTTTTTGTCTCATTGCTGAATGAACGTAGTATCTTGACATCTGACAGAACCAATCGTTCCAACCCTGTGTCATTCTTTGACAAAACTGCCCTAGTTGTTCTTGCGCCCTTATACTTTCTTTAAATGTATTTTTCAATCAGTTTGTCAAATTCCACAAAAACCCATGTTTTCGCATTAAACAAGACCCAAAATGGAAAACCTTATGAAGTAGAAGGATTAATGTGGCTAACTCAAAGTATTTAAAGTGTGGCTAAGCAAATAATACCACAAAGATAAATGGAAACTGTTAGTATTATTGAGAAAAAGTCTTTTAAATTAGTATAAAAAGAATTTCAACAACAAAAAAATGGACAAAAAACTCCCCACAAAATGGTAAAACAGTAAGCACTAGAACAGGTTTTTACGTCCTTAGTCACAAAAACATGATACAAAGAAACTATCAAATTCTAAAGAACAAAGCATATCAACAATAGGGTTGGTAATGGGGCTCAGAGATTACTATAGAAAGTACAAACTAACATAAGTTTTCTGAAGGACAATTTAGCATACTGCATTCAAGCCCTTAAAATGTACACACCCCTCGACCCGGCATTTCACTTCTAGGAATGAGAAGAAATCCTCCTAGTCGTGCACCAAGCTTCAGCTTTAAGAACGGTAACCCCTGGTTTTGCTTCATTTTTTAACATGTACTTATTTGAAAGAGGTGTGGAGAAAGAGGGAAAGACTGAGAGGCAGAGACGGAGACCCATCTTCCATCTGCTGTTCACTCCCCAGACGGTGTCCGCTGCTGCTTTCCCAGGCCATCAGCAGGAGCTGGATCAGAAGTGGAGCAGGGGCTGGTACTGTGGCACAGCGGGTAAAGCACCTGCCTGCAGTGCCGGCATCCCATATGGGCGCTGGTTTGAGTCCCGGCTGCTCTACTTCCAATCCAGCTCTCTGCTAATGGCCTTGGAAAGCAGTGGAAGACGGCCCAAGTCCTTGGGCTCCTGCACCCATGTGAAAGATCTGGATGGAGTTCCAGGCTCTTGGCTTTGGCCTGGCCTAGCCCTGCCTATTGCAACCATTTGTGGAGCGAACCAGGAGACGGAAGATCTCTCTGTCTCTCTTTCTCTGTCACTCTTTATTTTTTTATTTTATTTTTTTTAAAGATTTATTTATTTATTTTCAAGTCTGAGTTACAAAGAGAGAAAAGGAGAAGCAGAGATAAGTCTTCCATCCCCTGGTTCACTCTGTAGTTGGCCGCAACAGCTGGAGCTGCGCTGATCCGAAGCCAGGAGCCAGGAGCCAGGAGCCAGGAGCCTCTTCTGGGTCTCCTACACAGGTGCAGGGGCCCAAGGACTTGAACCATCTTCCACTGCTTTCCCAGGCCATAGCAGAGAGCTGGATAGGAAGTGCAGCATCCGAGACTCGAACCTGCACTCATATGGGATGCCGGCGCTGCAGGTGTTAGCTTTACCCACTATGCCACAGCGCCAGCACCATACTCTGCTTTTTAAGTAAATAAAAAAAGAAAGAGAGTGATTTTCACGTTCCTCTGTGTGCCTTTCTGTATTTCCAAACCCTCTACAATGTTTCCTCTGTAATCAGAAACACACACACACACACACACCCACACACCCACACACATATATATATATATAAATGTGTAACAAAAATATTATTTCAGGTTACAGTCAAAGCTGTGAAGACTAATTAAAAGCACACAGACACTTGAGATCTCCAACGACAAGCATAAAACAAGCACCGCACGGGCCAGGATGGGGGCGGCCTCCTATGGGCGTCCCCTCTTCCGTACCTGTTATGGTGTTGACGACTGTTCGCAGGATGGTGGGAGGCTTTATCAGTTCTTTGAGGATGTTGGACTCGGTAGCCAGTGGAAACCCATTGTCCAGCATCTCTTCCAATACCTCATATACAACAACCACATTGTCTTTGATCACTGGCTCTGAGCACACTCCAAAATAATCCTGGGGGGAGATACAAGCAGCAAAAAATCAATGTTCCGGGGCAGGCGCTGTGGCGCAGTGGGTTAAAGCCCCGGTCTGCAGTGCCAGCATCCCATATGGGCACTGGAACTGCTCCACTTCTGATCCAGCTCCCTGCTAATGCGTCTTGGAAAGCAGTGGAGGATGGCCTAAGTCCTTGGGCCCCTGCACCCGCATGGGAGACCTGGAAGAAGCTCTTGGCTCCTGGCTTCAGATGAGATCGGCTCTGCTTATTGCGGCCATTTGGGGAGTGATGGGGATTTGGGGAGCAGATGGAAGACCTTCTCTCTCTCTTTCTCTCTCTGTCTGTCTTTACTTCTCTCTGTAACTCTTTCAAATAAATAAAAATAAATCTTAAATAACTGTTCTCAAGAGTAAGGATCCGGTCCTGCCCACATGCGTTTGCTTGGTGTCTTTGGGGTAGTTTCCTACGAGGCAGTGGAGCAAACCACGGTTCTCCAGCAGCGGGATGAGCAGAGAGAACATGGGACTGGCTGACAGTACTGGAGTCGTCGTAGCTGCTTCTATAAATTCCAGGACAGGCGTACATCAGCTAAGACACTAAAATCAGGGTGTGTCCTTTTGCTTTTTCAAAGACCTTGCTTATTTGAAAGGCCCAGTCACAGGGAGAGGGCCAGGCAGGGAGATCTTCCTTCTATCTGCTGATTCACTCCCCAGATGGCTACAACAGCTAGGTCTGGGCCCGGCTGAAGCCAGGAACTCCATCCTGGTCTCCCACGTGGGTACAGGGGCCCAGGAAGTTGGGCCATCTTCCAGCGCCTTCCCAGGTGCATTAGCAGGGAGCTGGATCAGAAGTGGAGCAGCCAGGACTCACACTCTGACGTGGGATGCCGGCATCGCAAGCAGAGGCTTAACCCACTGTGCCACAATGCCAGTCCCGTTCCTTTACTTTTAACAATTGCCTCAAAAATGACGAACTCTCGGGGGAGTGTTTAGCCAAGCAGTTAAGACGCCCACAGCCCATGTCTGAGTGTCTGGGTTCGATGCCCACCTCTGGCTCCTCCTGCAGCATACCCACCAATGCAGACCCTTGGAGACAGCAGGCGATGGCTCAAGTAGTTGGGTCCCTTTGCCCACAGGGAGACCTGGATTGCATTCCTGACTCCTGCGTTCAGCCTGCCCAGCCTCAGTTGTTGCAAATATTCATTCTGCCTCTCAAATTTTAAAAACTACACGTTCTGAAGTCCCAGATCTCCAAATTGACAACTTCACTTTCCCAAACTCTTCTGTAGCTTCAACTGGATTAAACAACTTTCCTTCCTGACAATAAATTATATAATATTGGTACAGCAACATGAGGCACCTGCTGAATTTCACCAATGGCACTGCTCACAGATGAGAGATGACAAAATCCTAACAAGGTCCATTTCCAGTAGTTTAAGATGCTAACTACTGAGTTCTTTAAGTTCCTCTACCTTTTGCAGCTTCCAATTTTTTGGCTTCCAATGTGCAAAGGAGCTGGAACACACTATGATAACTGGAATCCCAGAATGATAGTACTATCAGGGAGTATTTGTAGGAGGAAAACTTAGGAAATATAGATTTTAATTCCTTGGGGAATGCTGCCCTCAACGTGTGATGTAGCCACAGCCAAAGAAAGGGCTCTGCCTGGCTTTTCAATCTCTACCAGCATTTTGCCCTTGTCTCTTCTTGGGTTCCACAGTTCCTCCACGCACATTCGGTCACATTCATGTGACTAACTCAAGACCTCACAGGACAGCAGTCAAACCGCACAGCCTTGGCTTCTCATGTCTCACTGGAGACCCGCGGACAATCACAGGGGTTTAGAAGCTGAGTGACTCTGTCAGGGAGAGGATCCCACTGTCTGAATCTGGAGCCTAAAATCCTGGGGTGCTCTGACCCTGCCCTAATTTACCTCCCCACACCCCATTCCCAAGATCTTCACACCCGTCTGATAGGCAGAACTCAAAACGGAAACTGTGCCTTGTCAAATGTGTCACCTAAACCCTTACGGGCGCCCATTTCCCAGTCGGAACCTCTGCAGGCAGAACGCACCACGGCACTCACACGCTATGAGTGGCCACCCCAAACCCACGATGGACGCCGCCTTCACAGAGCACCCGGGCCAGAGACGCTGAAAACTGTCATCACTTAGCTTTTCTCCTTTTTCTTGAAACACTTAAGCACTTGTTCAGGCAACTCAAAGCAAGACAGCTAACAATGGCTAGTATCAAGCCCACTACATCTAAAAGCTCTACACTCCTCTAATACTTGAGAGAAAAGTAGGACCAGAATACAAAGACTGGGACAGCTTTCTCCTGCAGCAGGTTCAACGGATTCAAGCTGTCACTCTGGATGCAGCCCTCTCTTCAATAAATCGATATAAGAACCTCATCAGAGGGGAGAAGTGATCAAGGTCACAGTTTTGATTTTTGAAAAAGTTTCTTGGGGTCAGTGCTGTGGTGTAACAGGTGAAGCTGCCGCCTGCAGTGCTGGCATCCCATATGGGTGCTGGTTCAAGTCCCAGCTGCTCCACTTTCAATCTAGTTCTCTGCTATGGCCTGGGAAAGCAGAAGATGGCCCACGTCCTTGGGCCCCTGCACCCACGTGAGAGATCTGGAAGAAGCTCCTGGCTCCTGGCTCAGGTCAGCCCAGCTCCGGATGTTTTAGCCACTTGGGGAGTGAACCAGCAGATGACATCTCTCTCTCTCTGCCTTTACCTCTGCGCCTCTAACTCTTTCAACTAAATAAATAAATCTTAAAAAAAAAAAAAAAGAAAGAAAGAAAGAAAGAAAGAAAGAAAGAAAGAGTTTCTTAACCAGGCTGAGGACAAAGGAAACGGGCACAGACAGACATTCTGCATTTCGGGCGCCCCCCCCCGCCCCGCACACGGACCTGGAAGGTGTCCACTACTCGGTGAAGGAACTCGATGACGAACAGAGGCGGGACCTCCGTCTGGATCACGGCCACGAAGAAGATCTTGTGGCGGTACACACTGAGGAGGTAGTGGTGAGGCGTGGGGATGACCGGGGGCACGTTCTCTGCCTCCGTGGCCCTCTCCTGCGCCTCGAAAAAGTAATCACACACGGAACGGCTGACCACACTTTTCCAGTGCTTCTCCAGGAAAATGTCCCCCGAGGAGTTGATCAAGAAGAGACTGTGGATCATGGTGAAGGCGGCCAGAGAGGGGAGAGCCCTCTTCCGCCTGGGAGCCTCCGGACTCTGCCGACGTCTGCCCTAGAAACAAAGCCAACGTTGGTTTCATTCACACCCAGCGCCTTGTGGTCCCAGACTCACCCAGTTCTCAAGACCAGGCTCACAGGAGCCTGAAACACCCCTCCCTCGAATCCCTAAGCATCAGAGCTGTCACCTGTCAGTCAACAGCGGATGAGGCCTCCCGCTTCTCTTTACCATGGCCAGGGTTAAGGCCATCTAAAATACCACAGCTCTGGGCAACTATTGCTCCTCAGCTGGACCAGAGGCTCCTTGAAGGCAAAGAGCCAGGTCTCGTGTTTTGTTTGTTTTTAAAGATTTATTTATTTATTTGAAAGACAGAGTTACAGAGAGGCAGAGGCACAGGCAGAGAGAGAGGGGGGGGGGTCTTCCATCCGCTGGTTCACTCCCCAGATGGCTGCAACAGCCAGAGCTGTGCTGATCCAAAGCCAGGAGCTTCTTCCGGGTCTCCCATGCGGGTGCAGGAGCCCAAGGACTTGGGCGACCTTATACTACTTTCTCAGGCCCTAGCAGAGAGCTGGAGCAGAAGTGGAACAGCTGGGACTTGAACTGGCGCCCATATGGGATGCTGGTGCTGCAGGCTGGGGCTTTAACCCGCTGAGCCACAGCACTGGGCCCTGTTTGTTTTTACTCAGTGCACAGTATTCCCTTTGAGCACAGAGGTTTCAAAGAATATCAATGGATTCGATGTCATGTTTTGGCCAAAAATCCTACATATACGAGACATGTGCACCTGGGGGCAGGTCTTGGTTTAGCAGCTAGCACAACCCTCGGGATGCCTCCATCCCATATCAGAGCCCCTGGGTTCAACGGCCAGCTCCACTCCCAATTCCAGCTTCCAGCTACACGCACCCTGGGACGTAGAAGGCGAGGGCTCCAGAGATCAGCTCCCGGCCACTCCTGTGGGGAGACCCGGATAGAATTCCCAGCTGCCGGCTCCGGCCTGGCCCAATCCCAGCAAACTAGCCTAACGGGAGATCTCTGTCTACTTCTCTGCCCTTCAAATAAATTTTTAAAAAGCACATTTAAAAATAAAAAGATGTGTGGGGAGCAACTCGGACTAGACTGTTACTGGAATTAAGACTTATTCTATGCATCTGCTCTCCCACAATATGGCGCTGAGAAGGGAGAAACAGCTTCTACTCAGCTGCCTCCAGTTCAACCAATAAACAGCAGGACTTGCTCCTGATTGGAGGAGAGCAGCGTACTCGGCGTGTGGGTAGCAGAGTTGGGATTGGTGGAAGAGGACTATAAAGGAGGAGAGAGACAACATGCACCAGGAACACCTGAGGAACACCTGAGCAGCCCCCGAGAGAGCTGGCCGGCGGTGTGCCGCTCCCCCGCGGAAGTGGGGAAGGTGGCAGGGGGCACCGCCCTTCCACGGAGGTGGAGGGACGGTAGCCAACCCGGGAAGAACCAGCAGCAAACCCGGGGAGGGCCGAGCAGACAAAAGAACAGCGCAGGGCCGGCGCCGCGGCTCACTAGGCTAATCCTCCGCCTAGCGGCGCCGGCACACCGGGTTCTAGTCCCGGTCGGGGCGCCGGATTCTGTCCCGGTTGCCCCTCTTCCAGGCCAGCCCTCTGCTGTGGCCAGGGAGTGCAGTGGAGGATGGCCCAGGTGCTTGGGCCCTGCACCCCATGGGAGACCAGGAAAAGCACCTGGCTCCTGGCTCCTGCCATCGGATCAGCGCGGTGCGCCAGCCGCAGCGCGCCAGCTGCGGCGGCCATTGGAGGGTGAACCAACGGCAAAGGAAGACCTTTCTCTCTGTCTCTCTCACTGTCCACTCTGCCTGTCAAAAAAAAAATTAAAAAAAAATAAAATTAAATTAAAAAAAAAAAAAAAAAAAAAGAACAGCGCAGGGTCCTGTGTTGTTCCTCCACGAAGACGGGGAGCGACATAATGGTGCCGTGACTCGGATAGGAAGTCTAGGCAGGGTTTAGTGTCGTTCCTCCATGAAGAGGGGGAGCGACAAGATGTGCAGCTTAATGTGGCCATGTGAGACACTGACTGCGTGCTCTAAGACACAGAAAAGGGCTGGGTGGCAGCATGGCGGGCTAAGCCACCGTCAGATGCAGCCCATCTGGGCCCAGGTGGGAGTCCTGCCTGCTCCACTTCTGACCCAGCTCTCCACTGACGGGTCTGCGAGAGCAGCAGGAGCCGGTGGAGACCCGGATGAAGCTCCTGGCCCAGTCCTGGCCGCTGTGGCCATCTGGGCAGTGAAGCAGCAGATGGAAGATCTAATTCTGCCTGTCAAATACATAAAAAGAGACAGGGCCGATCTGGAGGGCTTGCACGAGAGGCGGAATTTCCAACACCTCACCCCTAATAATTCCGACTATACACCGGAATCCTTGGGATCCACAGTGTTAACTCCACGTGACCGGCTTATTTCAACGTGACCAGAGACGCAAGTTCCCTAGCGGCTCACGGACAGGGCTCCGCCACCGCGGCCTTCGTGTGCGGGGACCTCAGGCTCCGGGCGCGAGAACCCCGGGTCTCCGGGGGAGGCGCCTGCGCCGGGCCCAGGCGCGCAGAGGCCGCGGGCCGGACCCCTCGGCCCCTGCACAGCCCGCGCCGCGCCCCGAGTCTGGGCACTCGGGGGCTGGAGATGGACGCTGGACCCAGCGGTGGGCGCGCACGCGTCGCCATGGCAACAGGGCCCGCCCCTCCCTCCGCCATCGGACTGGAGTAGACCGCCTCAGCGAGCCCCGCCGCTCAGCCCTTCACCTCTCCCCACCACAGCCCACACCCCCCGAGGGTGGGCCCCGCTGGAACCCGCGACCCTGCCTCGCCCGCCCCGCCCCGCCCCCGCCCGGAGGTTGCCAGCCCTCCTCACCCGGCCTCTTCACAGCGCTCAGCGCTCCGCCGTGAGGGAAGCCCCGCCCTCGCCCCACCCCCACCCCGCGCGCTCCGCCCGCCGCTCGCCTGCTGATTGGCCGGCCCTCCCCCCGCGCCCGCCCTCCCGCGGCGGACGCCTCGGGCCGCTGATTGGGCGTCGCTCTGCCGCTCCTGCGCTCTGATTGGGCGCTCGTCCTACGGCTTGCGCCTCCAATTGGCCCTTGTGGAGACTTTGGTAGTCTCCGATTGGTGCGGCTCGGCGGCGCCGGGCCCTGATTGGAGGTCGAGGACAGTCCTCAGTTGGAAGGCGGTGCCGGAGAGGGAGGTGATTTCCGGGGCGCCCCGTGGGTAGTGCTGAAGCGGGAACGCTAAGACCCTCCGTTTGATAAATGCTTGTAGTGGCGGCCGGGCGGCGCGGCGGCTAAGACGTCCGCATCCCACGTCCGAGCGCCTGGGTTTGGGTCCCAGCTCCATGCTGATGGCACTCTGGGAGGCTGCGGGTGACGGCCCGGATGCCTGGGCCCCTGCATCCCTCGTGGGAGACCTGGATCAGGCTCCTGGCTTTGGCCTGGCCCAGCCCTGACTGTCGCGAGAGATCATGTGGGGCGTGAACCTGGGGTGGAAGACACACACACACACACATGGCCTACACACCACCTGCTTGGCCTAGGACAAGGCATTTCACTTCTCAGAATCCGTTTCCCAGGACCGGAAAATGCAGGGATTAGGCAGGCTTCTCTCCAAATTGCTTTGGCGCTGTGATGACTTGGATGCGATTTTTAGATTAAGTGACTCATGTCATTGTGATCCAGAGAGCGTGGTGGAGCAGCCAGCAGCAGGGTTCGGCTGACTTTCTTCTCAAAGTGAATCATTAAATGAGATGAGCTGCGGCAAGGGTTGGTGCTGGTGCCTGGCCGAGCTGAGTGTCTGGCTAAATGGAAAACAGGTGAGGGTGATGACGTGGCCCTACCTGATGCCATACACTTTGGTAAAATGGAGCACCCGTGGCAGCCCCTCCACACACAAGGCCATGGATCGTTCTTTGCTATAGAGTTGGCTAATTATAAGCCAGAGGCAAACATAGCTGAATGGCGTGGCCTGGTGTAAGTGTAGAGGCTTTGGTGCCGCAGCACCGGGGTTCAAATCTTGCACCAACACTTAACCACCGGTGTGAACTTGGGAGGGTAGCCACGCTTCTCAAAACTCCAAGCTCCTCGTGTCTGAAATAAAGATACTGAGCGTACCTACTTCGTGGAGCTGTTGAGAAGACAGGTAGAAAGGCATTCACAACTGGTATTACCTACAGAACCACGCAAGATACAGCATGTGATTGCTAAGTAATGTGTCTGCGATGCAGAAATGTGACCCCTGCTGCGGGCATTTCTCTCGCAGTCATCCACTGCACCCACGTGGGGCAGGGGCCCAAAGGATTGGGCCATCTTCTGTTGCTTTCCCAGGTGCGCTAGCAGGGAGCTGGATGGGAAATGGAACACCCAGGACTCAAATCAGTGCTCATGTGGGATGCTGGCGTCACAGTTGGCTGCCACTGCACAACGCTGGCCCCAAGTTGGTAGGTATTTAAAGCCATGAGACCAGACAGATGACAGAGGGAGTGAGCACACAGACACAAGAGGACAAGGGTCCAGGCCACTCCACATATCAGAGTTTATAGAAAAGAGATGACCCTCATTAAAAGTCTCTTAGATGAGAGAATTGCAGTGAGTACCTAAGGAGCGCCCCAAGTTCAAACACCTGGTAAGTGGCAGAGCTGGGAGTGAAGGACACGGCAAGTTCAAAGCAATCGCTAGAGTCCATACCTCCTGCCTCTTATCAGCCAGGAGGCCCTGGAAGAAATGTGAAGTAGGAGAGGGCCAACTCAGAGTGACCGTGTGTGAGGGGTGGCTGGGCCAGGAGGATACGGAGACCATGGCAGCCGCCCAGGAGAGGGCCGCAGACTGCTGCGGCCGGGATGGGCGCATTGCAGAGAAGTTGGACAAGCTCGGAGCTGTCCCGCGGGAGGGAAAACAGCAGGGCTTGGGGAGCCATGGGATGGGAGCGTGAGGGTTCTTCCCAGGTTTCTGATTGAGCAACAGCCCTAATTCAGTCACAGCCAATGGCCCAGGGTCATATACAAAGCTCACACACAAATACTTCTTGACTTGTAT